CCCTGGAACTGGAGTTATAGACAGTTATGAGCTGCCATGTGGGTGCTGGGAATTGAACTTGGGTCCTCTGGAAGAGCAACCAATACTCTGAACCTCTGAGCCTTGCTATGCCCCATGTCCGTCAATTTTTAAATATAGCAAATAATCCTTCTTCCAAAGATTTGATGTTGTTTTCCTCTATTTTTTGGTATAGCTTGACTTTTAATATTCAAGAATTTGTGTTATGAAGTAGTAACTATGTTTTTTAAAAATTACTAAATTCTTATTTTTACCATAACTTATTGAATTAGACTAAATTCACTTTTTAAAATTTGGCTCCAGGATAGGCAGGGTAATTATTTCCTTAATGACATCCTACTTTCCATTCCCAGAATTCCTGGCCCCAGCACAGTCCTCCATGGAGTTTAGCATCTTTACTCTTCTTTCTTCTGTCTCTTTTGGATGCTGGCCAGAACTTTTCCTGGTACTATGGGCTTCCATGCTTTCTCTACAGCCCCAACTTCTTGCCATATGGCTGCCTGCTACCATGTGGCTGACCTCTATGCCAGCTTAATTTAAGCCTAGGCTTTTGTTTCTTTTCTGTTCTCCTTGGACAGCTGCTGAGATTACAGACTGCCTAGCCCAGAGAAATTTTCTCTTAAGATCTAATTCAATTATCCTCAAGCTTAAAAAACAAAACAGCCTTAGCACCTGCATGCTGTACCTTTTAACTAGGTGTTTCTTTCTCTTTGCATGGCTCTACCTTCCTTTAAGTAATCCTCTGAATGCTAATTAGCCAGATACTTAAGAGTAACAGTGTATTTATGAGTTAAAGAACTAATTAAATATTTACTCAGTGTGTGTATGTGTTTGCCCATATGAAATAGCATGTGTGTGGAGGTCAGAAGACAAGTTGGAGGTTGTTGATCATGTGGATCTCAAGAGATCAAACTCAGCTCACTTCACTTGGTGGCAAGTAACTTTACCCATTAGCCATCTTGCCTATCCCAAGAATTTTAGCTAAACATTTTATAAGTATCAGTTACAGTTACCAGACACTGTAAAATGATGTCTTTTGGAACTTATAGGCTCTAGTATTAAATATCTCATGGTCTTTGTTAGGGATCCTGAGTAAGTCAGTATATGGAAAGAATTAGATACCAACTTAAAAACCAGGCTGGCATTGAACTCAAAGATCTGCCTAACCCTGCCTCCCAAGACCTAACCCTGACATACCTTCTGCAGTGCTTCAATACCAAGCAGCACAATTGTCCCCACCTTACATGGGACTGTGGCAGAGTCACAGCTTACATCTCTCCAGATCCAGCCCATGCTTTGTCCACATTCCAATTGCTCTCCACTGGGGCAGTTTTGCTCCTAAGTTCCCAGGGGATACTTGGCAAGGTCTAAAGACTTCTGATTGGTGTTGGTAGACGGGATGCTATTGGTATAACAGAGGCCAGTGCTGCTGCTGAATACCCTACACTCCACAGGACAGTGGCCCTGGCCAGGATGTAAGTAGGTGTTAAGGTCTACATTACAGGGTAGACCTTAAGACAAGTTCATCTTCATCTGGCTTTTAAAAACATTAACACAGACAGATCAGCAGTAACTAGGGGCCAGTCCTGAAACTGTCACCTGGGAAGAAAATCGAATTGTGGTCAGTGTTAAATATTGTTGTATTATCAGATTATAGAGTACAAAGGTGATTTTCAAGACACTAAGCCTAAGTCTCACTATCTTTAAAGCTGGCCCATGAGCTATTTAGAAACATACTAAAAATAAACCACTCACCACAAAATACCCGAGGAGCAGTGTGCTATGCTCTCCTCCCTCCTCTGCCTTGCCGATGCAATGGTGCCACTCACTCACCTTGACAGGTGTATTCTCAGCTAAGATGGGCTGCTGAATTCAGACTCCCAGAACCCACACAAAAAGCTAGGCACACTGGTATGCTCTGCTAATCCAAGCACTGGGGAAGCAGAGACAGACAGATCCCTGGAGTTGTTGGCTACACAACCTAGATGAACCTATGAGCTCCAGGTTCAGTGAGAGACCTTGTTTCAAAAGACAGGAAGTGATGGAGGAAGCACTCAGTGTTGACTTCTGAGCTTGACATGCACCTGCACTCCCAGAAACATGTACATACATATCACACACACACACACACACACACACACACACACACACCCCACAAACAACAAAAAACACAATGAGTTTAAGAACACCAGGACAGCATGGGCTAAAGACTCTGTCTCAAAAACAAAACCTCACAAAATTGATTGTATTGGGGACTATAAAACTGAGCTATAGTTGATTTTAGTATCAACAGGGAGCCTCATGTACAGGGGTATCCTAAGTGCTTACATTGGTGTGGTAATGACACAGACAGAAGGGACATAGAAGGAAGGTCTCGCCTTTTGCTCCTTGGCCTTCCCCTCCTCTGGCATGAGGTTAACAGCTGCTCCTGATGCTTCCAGAACCAGAGGTCCTAAGCTTTCATTGTGACCTAGGACCAGCAGCTCTATAGCCCTTTCCAAAGGCTTCTGGGGCCAGATGGGACCGATGAGGCACCCAGCAGGGGACAGCCACTGTGGGACTACTCTGAGGCACCCAGCCTCGATGACCAGGTAATCACCAGGCTGTCCGTTCTCAGCCTCTCCTAGTTGCCTTGGTCATGGAGTCTCATTACAGCAGTAACTAAGAGGATAAATGAGTAATAACACCGGAATATTATTCCCTTCCCAAATGAAGACTGAAAAGTAGACGCAAAGTTTGTACTTACCTTGTTCTTTTCATCTTGAATAATCTCCAGGAGCTGGTCTACATGCCCATCATCGATGCATCTTTGGCCTGCTAGCTGGAAGAGGCCAAAATCCTCTTCTTTAAAATCACACTCCTCTAGGATTTGCTATTAAAAAACAGGACAGATGCAAATATAGATTCAGTATGAATGACTTACTGATCTTGTCTAAGGAAAAAAATGAAATCTTAAATTCTAGAGAAAGGGCACATGAATACATAATGAAAATTAGAATTATCCTAATAAATATTTTAGTGATTGTCTTTATTTATTTTGGCTTTTGAGACAGGCTCTCAAGATGAAGCTCAAGCTGACCTGGGAACTTCAGATCCTCTTGCCCCAGCCTCTGAATGCTGGTTATAAGCATCAATCATATGGCTCAATGAATGATCTAGAACCTACTGAATAAAAGAAACCTATGAAAACAATTACAGGTCTAAAAGTATAGGCTATTGAGGCTAGAGAAATGGCTTGATGGATAAGAGCATATACTGCTCTTGCAGAGGACCTGAGTTCAATTCTCAGCACCCAGGTCAGTTGTCTCACAACCATCTATACAGCTCCAGGTGGTTATGGGCACTTGAGAGCGTGCGCGATCACACGCTCACACACACACACACACACACACACACACACACACACACACACACAGACACACAGTAAAAAATAAAATGTTTTTTCAAGTGTAAAAAAAAATTAGGATTTCTTTTTATGTTGTATGTATGAGTGCTTGCCCACAGGTGCCTAGTGCCCATGAAGGCTACAAGTGGGCCTGAGTGTTGGGAAATGAACCAAGGTCCTCTGCAAAAGCAACAACTGCTCTTCACCACTGAGAGCCATCTATCTAGTTACCCCCCATCCCCACCCCATCTTTCTGTTATAGCCCTTGCTGTCCTGGAAATCACTATGTAGATCAGGCCAACCTCAAACTCACAGAGACCTCCCTGCCTTTGCCTCCTAAGTACTGGGATTAAAGGACACACACACACACACACACACACACACACACACACACACACACAAACACACCTACCTTCCTACTCTTATGCTGTTTATTTACAAGTAAAAAACAAAAAAAGCTGGAATTATAGATAAGGTAAATAATGTGAGTGACCACAAAGTAATTAAAGATAATCTATGCCCTTGCCATATTTTACAGGTGGTTTTAGAGAATTACTTACACATCTTTTTATTATGCACTGAAGTTCCTCAACAGCCATTCCTAATAAGTGTCCTAGTCTTGATGATGAAATGAATACAAAACACAGTTAGTTGTGATACTATGTAAATTATGTTTCATAAACTGTTTCATTCTGAATTAATAGAAAACACATAAATACAATGTAAATTTTTATAGCTTAAATGGTATTACTGAACGCTAGTGTGCTAGTCTACTAGAACATTTTTAAAGCCTCTAGTGTATTGCCTAAAGAATGAAAAGAGATTTAAAAAAGAAAAAGAACCCTAGAGAGAACTTCCTAGAAGAACTTTTTTTCAAAAGAGGAAAGTATTCCTTTCATGAAAAAAAAAAAACAAAATCAAAAACAAAAACGGTAGACCTGGCATAAGAATTCTAATCATTAGGGAATCTTTAAAATGTCCCATTGATAAATACTGAAATCCAACACAATTAAGTCACCCAAATAAGTTGAAGACTCTGACGCCCTTCACCCCATGCCCCACAAGACCTGCCCTCTCCACAGGAACCAAACCTAGTCAGTGAGATCACCGAACCACCCGAAGAGAAGGCCTTCGGTGGTGACCAGCACAGCATGCGGCCCCGGGGGCTGGTGGAATCGCTGCCCCCCAGGCGCGGACAGCAAAATCACACCCTACCGCGCCTGTGGGCTGAGCCGAGGGGGAGCCATTTCTCCCTGTTTCCCTGCCTGTTTCCCTGTTCCTACTGGGCAGAGCATCCAGGCTCCAGCACCTCGAGGGGCCTAGCAGCCGAGCCTCGCGCTGCCAGGGTCCTGATGAGCCAGCCTGGACCAGCCCTAGCCAGCTCGTCCACCTACCCGCCAGACCGCTCGCCTTCTCCACCTCCCGCAGCGCAGGCCTCACTCCTGGCCCCGCCCCTAGGTCGGG